TGGAAACCGAAGGAGGATCGTCGCATAAGGAAGACTTTTGAATTGTGCAAAGAAATCCTCGCACATCTCACTGTCTCAAAAAAATCTGCTCTGGAAAGTGACATTCCTTTCTTTAAACCTATTTATATTTTTAGAAGTGGGTTGACCCCGTTCTTGCAACTTGGTCTTGTTGTCAGGGGGGCTTAGTAGAACGCTCCTTTGACAAAAAGGTCACATATTTTGACAAGTGGAATGTAAACAAGTGAGAAGTTGTGATAGAGATGGAGTTGGATAAGAGTGTAAAGAGTAGATAGATAGGCCAGGACAGAAAGAGTGATAGTGTAACCGTTTTCTGCAGAACGTTTGTCGAGAAATTGACTTCACTTGTCTCTGACGAGTTCGTAGCTTGGTGCGGAGAATGGCAGCACTTACTGATGATTCCGATTACGATGCTAGGGAACGTTTGAGAATGTACTAAATCCACGGCCTGATGCTGGGAATTAGGACAACTACTATGGCAGAGGACTAGGTGTGTTCTACTGTCTCCCATACAACAAGATCAAGTTGCGACAACGAGATCAACCCATTTCTATAAATCAAAAAGAGACTGCGACCATACTGGAGGCCACATCATCTTGATCTTCATGTCTACTTATATTTTGTTCGGGTCCCAGTAATAATGCTGATTAACCTTGAATATTGAAATCACTATTTATTTAGGAAGAAAATTTTATCTGTTAGATGAATGAGTTTATAAGCCCAAAGAAACTCTTATCTTCATTTTATCGTGGGTAAATTACTTATCAATTGCCTAATATGGCATTCGTAGTAGCCACTATTATTCGTGATCCTGCTTTGATGCGTAATTCTTTCACAGATTTCAACTTTATTGCTTTTCAGCCTTTGGTTTAGTCTATTAAGTTTTATTTGTCAATCAGAACTTGTTTATTAGTCAGGTTATTTTGCTTTCTTGATGATTTTTCCGCCAGCCTGACCTAAGAGAGGCTTGTTTTTTTCTCAGGCTTGGCTTTGACACCGTCTTCTTAAATAGTCTGTCACTCATCGTTTACCTTTATTTATGACCTTTTCATGACTTTTGGCGGTAAATTGACCTGTTTGAGCCTGCCGCAACTGTGATGCCAGACAAGACCCACAGTTTGTGTGCATGAGCCTTCCTTTTGGCCTGGTAGAGCACAGACCTGTAAATTAATCGCGTTTTACTCTACTCTTTAGAAGACCACTTATATCTATCAATATTGTTTTTGTCTGAGAGAATAGTTGATCTACCTTATATTGAGCGACTATTTGATTAATTTTATATATAATTTCTGGAAATTAGATTTTAGTTAATTTTTTAAAGTTATATCTGCCTAGCTATTTACCTGAGTAGATTCTGCAATTATAACGTCATTGTTCATAATTGCGCAGAACATACTAATATCGAGATTGAGTTCTTTGTGGGATATACTCTTATTAATCTAAAGTGTTAATGTATATGGTCTCAACGCCATTACCTAAATATGAAATTTCATTAAACACTCCAGTACAATATTATTTTCTTGTATCTCACAATGAAAGTCGACTTTTATTAGGAAGCTGAGCCCTTCACTTGAATTCTATTTTTTCTTAACAGTCCATCGGAGTGCTCAGATAGAGTACAAAGTTGGATAATGCATTTTTTTTAACTATAAAACCTAGTGCTGTCACTAGCTCTTTGTGTTTGTATCACAATGGATATTCCTTCCAGTATAAGAACTCTTTTCTGGAAAACGAAGATGTCTAAATTTCTAAATTATTTTAAACCTGATTACTGTGGTTTTGCTGTTCAGACAAGCTTTTTAATGCGAACCAACGATTACTAATGCAGTCTTTTGTAACTAAGACCAAATATTCATATTTGTATGTATTTTTGCTTAATAATTCTCTTCCTTTATATTCTAATAATGGGTGTATGCCAATTATCTGGATCAGAGTCTTCAGATGAAGACTTTAACTGCAATTTAAAATTACACCAACATTTTTGCTCTTGCTTGACTTGGCATAATAGTAGGGAGTAATTGGTATTCTTATGTTGATTATCTTGATAGATACTTTGAAATCTCTTTTTTATATACTCTGGGATATCTTGAAGACTGTTAATGTTATTTAGGTGCAACATTATGGGGCCTATGAGAGTATGGGGTCTATTTTATTATGTTTATATATGAATCATAGTGCATTTGGTCCTTTTCCCGTTAAATATTCATTACTAGAACCAATTTGACATGCTTAAATTCCACCTCTTTTTAGAATACAGAACGCAGTAAATATTCGCGTAAAATTCAAATATGCAGTTGTCCCCAAAGCAGATAACAATTTACACTTCATCTTTAAAGGGATAAGGACTTTGGTTGCGATATTCTTCCCTGTGAATATCCTTTCTGTAGGATCTAACACCAGGAATATTATTGAATTTATGCAATGCTATAAATTTTTTATACATCTGCGTGTCTTTTATTTGTCTTTTATTGTTTTGCTTTAATGCATTTATTTTTCTCATATTTTGACGCTAATAATTTGGATTATTTGCTACTAATTTAGGTTAAGGCAGAATATTTGCAGGAAGATTTGTCCCTCTTGGACAAAAATGAAAACGTGCAAGCTGATTCACAACGGCTTCGTCTTCTCGAGAAGATGCGGCATTGGTATCGACCGATAGCCTGCAACTGGTTGCTCAACAACAATGACCGTTGGCAGCACTGGGTCCAAGGTCATACGCAGAAGCAAGATCTTTCAATCATTGGCATGTTTGCACTTTACGGATCTTGGGTTATGGGCGGATTAAAAGACTGTAAGCTTTATTAATTATAATTATTTGTCGAAATTTCTTTACATTTCGATTTCTTATTTATCTGATACCTATCTTTATATATAAATGATCTTTTATTTGGTGTTGTAGTATGGAGAACACGAAAGGCCATGAAGATTTTGACTCAGCACCTATTGACACTAAATCTAAACCATTTTGATTGTGGTGGCCTGCTTAAATAAGACCTTGAAGACAAATGATATAGAATTGTGCGAGTGATCGCTAGAAATGAAGGCTAGTAATAGGTGACATGTTCTAACTTGCCTCCTCCAAATGAATAATAATATCAGGATTATAGGCTAAGCAACATAAGACCAAGCTTTATGATTTTAGGGCAGTGTAAGATGCGCTTTGGCCTAGTTTTGAATGAGCTGTACTGCCTGATTGCTCTTTAAGTGTGGTACCAAGTCAAGTGTTTTGGGATCAAGAGATAGTTGTG